GGACAAAAAAATTACCTGATGAGGATTTCGGTCAATGATAGTCTGCTCTTTGAATTTCAGTTTGCAAGAGTAGTCACGGTTTCCTTGTATTCGCATTGTACCATAATGGTCGCAATAAAGTTTCCCCAAAATTAAGTTGTATATAGATGTTGTTACCTGTCATAATTAGGTATAGGTATCTCCACGAAATCAAACAGAAAAAAAAAAAAAAAAAATCCCATCATTTGCAGTAGTACCTTATTCCACTGGAAGATTTCTCCATCATCAAATTCAATAGTTAAAACACCAACTGGGTCAAGCTGAATAGACCGTCCCCAAAATTTGCTTTTGAGGTTGCTGTCACCATAAAACCTCCAGCCTCTACCCTCGCAATGACATGCTACAATCATGGGGTGATGACTCACCTGATACAAAGAAAAACGGCATTGGCCACTTCTTATTCATTGAAAATAATACTCCTTCCTTCCCAATTTTACAGTCCCATAACTTCACATTTTATTGTCTAAAAATTATGGTCCCCTTTGTTAGTTAGAGGTGTGTATGGTTTTCTATCTACCCCTATTCAACTGGGCCAATGTAACAAGTTTCAAGATAATGTTAACTGTGGAACTAATGTAAATATGGTGTACTAGAAACATGAAACTCTTTTTGAATTTTATGAAGCTAGTTGACATGTGTTCTTAATTGTGAGAAACTGAGAAATGCAACTGTTAAAATGAATGGAATGGAGTACCAAAGAAGGCTGTATCCGTAAACTCCATTAAATCAGAAATAATGGTGTTTGGCAAATAAACATCAATGGAAGTCCTAAATGCAAAAATGTGTTGGTTTAGGTAATTGATGGGACTAAACTAAAAGTAAGTATATGATTCACAGCAGTTCACCTACAAGACAAAAAAAAAAAAAAAATGATCCATTTGGCATAAATGTGGTACTGAAATGGAAATGAATAAACAAGAAACATGAAAATCGAATAGGACTTTTCGTTCTCAATATTCCTGCTACTTTTTTCCCATTCCATATAATCCATGGTATAATTGTTTCTCTGGCCAGAAAATAGCAGAGTTTTGAAGATTGTAAGTAGTAAAATATATATTTATATAGTACAGCGAAGGCACTGATACAGTAGCCAAAATTGTGAGACGTGATAAAAAAAAAAAAAAAAAAAAAAAAAAAAAAAAATTCAAGAAATTTGCTCCAGGCAATAAACTGATACCTTCTCTGAGAAAAATCGGAGACCCTTATCTGGGTAATCAGCTTCATAAGTCTCCCCTAACAATGGATTGAAAGGTTTACACATTCTTCCATCTGTTGAAGCATATCCAGATACTGCGAATGCAGCTACATTTAGCATCCGCATAAGGCTGTTACCCTGTAAAGAATTAATTACATCACAACTCATTTTTGCTAAATGGTCATTAATTAAATGCATCATGTAGAAAAGCTGGATATCTTTGCAGGTTATAAACCTTGAAAAGAGAAGCAAATCCATAAGAAAGTAAGAAAAGAAATTCTTCAACCATATGTCCTAAACACCTAATGATTGGAACGAAAACAGAAGCCAGAACAAGTTCAGTTATGAGAAACCAAAGAAGTACTCGACATGCGGAGTCAAAACTTGATGGTTGATAGAAAGAATGAATTTCTGATTTCTCTGTGCATGGTGCATTCTAATAAATTTTCCTCTTTAAAGTCATGCGATTTTCAGCTAATTTTTTTTTTTCCTGTTGGCTAGAGACTTCTTTTTCCTTTTTCTTTTCGTGGGAAGCCGGAGCAATTAGCAGGGTGCTGACTTCCCCGAATTCACATTGTGAAAATGTAACTATACAGTTATTCTTTTATGACTTGCAGGTGAAACAAATTGAACACGGAGGTTTCAGAGTTAATTGACCACCATTGCTTTAAAAAAAAAAAAAGAAAAAACATCAAGAACTTCAGCATTGTCAATGAGCGTACCTTCTTTCCCCATTCATAGGCCCGGTCAATCAGATATGAATATTCCACGTCTTCAAAACATTTCTGCAGAGAAGAGAGAGGCTCATTGAAGTAAACCGGGAGACATACTTTTGTAAGATCCTTCCCAATGTTGTCCTTAATCATTGACCATAAACTCACTCCTTTCTCTTTCTCAACAGGATCTGGCAATTTTTTGCGACGTTTAATGCGAGGAAAGTTCATTCCAACAGATCTAATAGCAGGATCAATATCTTCCTCGTCAACATAAGTATAATGGTCATTATCATCAGATGATAATGATAACGTCCTAAAATCGGACCCGCTACTTCTAAAGGAACTAGAAGAAAGAAAATCTCTGGTCTCAAAAAAAACATTGTCTTCTTCATCTGTATCTTCATCTGCCACATCTACTCTTTCAATTTCATCTTCTGACTCGGTAGTGCTCCCTGGTAGAGGTACACAGAAGGGTAATGAAATGTAATTAAATACATTTAAACAACTAATATGTATCTGTACGAGCTGACAACTTTAACGTGAAAACTTACCTCATGCCTAACAAAATATAAGAATCCAAAACAAAAACTTAGTGATTTTTTGACTTTTTCTTTTTTTGAGGGGTGGGGTTGAGGGGATATATCAATGTGAAGCATTTATGCCAATAATCTATGATAAACATAAGTAGAACAAGCTGAGAAGTATACCACTAGACTTATCTTGCCTTGTGTTAGTAGATGCTCCAACATCTTTAGTGTGCCGCTGGCTCTCGTCAACGACTGTATTCTCCAAGTCAACTTTTTCGGTCTATACAAAATACCAAACTCTTTTTAGCTGAAACAAATAAATAGCTTAAAGTAGTTTGAGGAACATTTTAAGGAAAACCCAGCCCTATTATCATGAGGTCAATACACACTTCTGAAATTTTAAAAGTAACACACCAGATCATCCTATCAGATGATTTTCTAATAGATAAACTAATACACTGCTTTTCAAATTCATAACTGATCATAGTTTTTAAAGAATTATGCTATCACATAGCGATACATATTTAAGAAGAAAAATGAAATGATATTCACTAAAACACAATATATTAGAAATGCGGACAAATTAACAACTGCAACAGAAAGAACTAGGGGTTCCCATGCTCTACCGATAAGTATGGAAGTTCTAAGTGATATCCTAGGTTGCATATACATTTAGGAATTTGAATTTGGTGACAGGATTTGAAGAAATTATTTCAAATCTCACTATCTAATATGTGGAATTGAGATCCACCAAACGACTTGGATAAGAGCCAACAAGAATTGAAACCATTTCATAGAGAGGCTATCCAACAACCTCAATGGATTTGTTACAACTTGTAAGATATTTGGTGAATCCTTAACTTCAAATGCATCACCAAAATGGATGGTGGTAGATGCCTTGCTCATGACGCAAGCTATTAAGTATTAACAAAATCTAAGATCTAACTCATATCTCACGCTATATGTGAAGATGCACTAATTGAAGTTTGTAAGCAGGAAAAATATATGCACATATATTATTATAAATGAACTTCAGGGTAAAAATAAAAACCCACAGAACAAAAAAAGTTGCAATGGAAGGGTTCAAAACTGACAAACAGAAATCCAAATACCCGAATCCCACCACCCAGCCACACCAAATAATGGGATAATGACTGTATTCAAATTTATTACAGCCTTGATAATGATTCTAACACCATTTTAAGGCACATATATCACAGCATTAAAGAATGATGCAGTTGTGTACTTACTGAATTACTCAGGCGTAATTCAGTTCATGAAAACTATACATAAAAATAGTGGTTTTTTTTTTTTTTTTTTTCAGAAAGCACTTCAAGACCGGGCAACCCAGCTGAAGAAATCTCTAAGGATACCCAAAAGCACTTTAACGCACATATTTCTCACTGGAAATTGAAGAAGGCCTCTGAATTCAATTAGCAAGGGATTTTCTACTAATCTTAACATGTACCTCTAGATGACGAAGAGTGTCCATGAGGAGCCAATGCTTCTGCTTCAAGATCATCAGCTGATTCTGCAATGAAGCAAATTCGTTCCTCATGATCTGCTCGCTCTGTTGAATGGAAGTCTCACTCAGCCCTTCTTCTAACAGTCTCTGTCTCAGCTTCTCAGTCGAGACCGCCAGGTTATCCACGGGTGCCATGAGCTCGCTGTTGGACATCCTTGGGAACATGTCCTTCACAGTCTGCAAAGCTTCCATCCAAGTTGTCCTGTCCTCCCGGCTCTCCGCCCTCAGATGGAGCTTCTTTGTCCCAGTAAAAATGGAGAATCTCTTATCATCCGATCGGCTATCTCGAATAGATGAGACCTGCAGAGGTATACTACTCAGTTTAAAAAGACCACACAACACAATTGCATTATTTTTATTTTTTTCAAAAAACAAGCATTGCAAGAATCATGCAAATAGAAGCAAGAAGAAAGGGGTAGCCAAATGCAAAGAAACCTGTATCACAAAGTTTGATATAGTTATTCATAACATTCTTTGCCACCAAAACAAAGTCAGTCTATCGTTACATGATTGAATACCAGAAAAAACAACAAGAGATCTCCTGATAAATATAAAGAAAATTCAGTCAATCAAATTGGATAATAAAAATTCCGAACAGCATTTTCATCGGAACTTCAAAATCACATGTAAACACCGCAACCCACTA